GATAAAGCTCGTCGTCATTAATTTTGTTGTCTAGATGTACCGCACATCTGACATTGCTAAGCCACTTTGGGGTATCCCATTTTAGTTTGATCCCGTTTATGCTTTTGGGCATATCAATTGACTCTGTGAGGTTGTCCCCTCTTCCACACTTATTTATTCGAATAATATTTTTGTGCTTCAGCTCTTTGGCAATATCTTGAGCTGTTAGGATCTTATTAAGATCTTGGGAGAAGTCTGCGCTAAAGACTACTTTTTCCCATTTGGTTTGTGGTCTTCTATTTTGTTGTGTCTTTGATTCTGATGAGACCATTTTTTGTCGTTTCTGTACCATTTTAGCCTTAGGTGGGCTAGATCGACTCGATTATTTACAGACCGCCGTAATATAGCTGAAATATTGCTGAGTGCGGCGTCAAACAAACAAACGAAAACGGACGCGAGTTCATCTTTCCCCGACCAATTATCGGATACTACCGGCCGTCACTGCGTATTTGTGTGTTGTCAAACGCAGCCAAGCGTGAATCCAGTCATTCGATGGCAGCCTGTGTTAAAAAAGACGAGCATTTGTCAGACCATCCTTCAGTCTCTCCTCTCTGTTCAGCTGCTGTGCGTCATGGAAAAGTTGCAGTTTATAACACCTCACCTCTACCAAACCATCACCTAATCCCCATCTTTCATCCTTCTCATCCAAACCCACACCTCAAAAACATCTTAATCTCACCACCCGCGCCCATCCACAAAACACACTCCACAACCACACTTTCATCATCATCTAATCCCTGCCTTTCATCTTTCTGATCCCAATTACCACACAAATACATCTTTAATCACCCTTATATCCCCCCCAAACCCAAACCATCCTACTAAAAAACAGCCAATAACCACCGACCCCAAAACTCAAAACCACAAACTCGACTAAACAGCATCTCACTCCCCTACACCCTCACAATGCGGGACGCTCGCCAAGTCGTGGCAGCACAAACACACCCCTTCCAGACCTTCCGACCCTTTCCGAGTCACAGAAGAAGAAGAAGAAGAAGAAGAAAATTATTTTATTTTCGTGTCACACACTGTACAGCAGTGACAATAAAAATACACAAATAGTGTGTACAGTGTCCGGCCATTATGGCCTACGAGACACGCAGGACGTCACATACATATGAGTAAAAATGAGAAATATCACAGTACATACATATACATAAAAATGAGTTATCACCAGTCATCACCGGTTATCACCAGTTATCAGAACATTCTGATACTAAGATACATGGAACTAGGCTGGAAGAGACGAAAGACACAGTTGTCTTCGCTCATACATGTGGTGAAGAAGCGCTGGTAATGGCGGGTGGATTTGCGGCGGCGGCGTTAGCGGGTGGGCTTGTAATGGTCGGTGGACTTGCGGCGGCGGGTGGACTTGTAACGGCGGCGGTATGCTATGTTTATTTCTCCTGTGTCGTAACATGACATCTCTCCTTGAAAACATTTTTTCACAGTCCGGACAGGTGGCAACCCCCATGGTAATCCAATACGGTGTGCGATTAGAGGGTATGAAGCTTTCTTTTATACCCTTGACTCAGTTGACGCTTCAAGGCAGCAAGTGCCCGTTCCACCACAGCCTTCACCTCCGACACATGTTGCATTTCCACGGGTTGGGGTGTTGTCTTCGATTCCTGTTTGGTTGACATCGTTTTCATTTTAGGTGTTACCTGTCTCTTCTTTGTATTCAGCGGCGACTTCTTGGCTGCTTGTGGTTTCTTTCTCTGTTGTGATTTTCTCAACGTAGTCTTCCTAAATATATCTCTAGGGTCAAGTCTAATCTCTGATGCTTTCTTCATGTGTGATTATGTTAAAAAAGCGATCATATTAGTATATAGTCTTCGTCATACTACACCCGTGAAGGTCCGGGTTATAGAATCGACCTTCAGTAACCCATGCTTATCGGCGACTGACGGGGATCGGTTGGTCAGTCTCGCCGACTCGGATGACACGTGCCATCGGTTCCTAGTTGCACAGATCGCTGCTCATGCTGTTGATCACTGGATTGTCTGATCCAAGCTCGTTTATTGACAGACCACCGTCCTAGAGCTGGAATAATGCCGAGTGTGGCGTAAAACTAAATTCACTCACTCACTGATACCAATACATCTAAAAAGTAATGTCATCATTTAAATGGTGAGTTTAAACGCGTATTTTACCCTTACAAGGACGAGTGCATTCCACACACCCTTCCTGTTATCAATGTGTCACTGTTTACAGTTCGGGCGAACATGTGTGCGGGCGAGTTCATTCATCAGAAATCTGTCATTTACGATGTGTTTATAAATATGAACTGCTAATCACGCTCATAGTCATGTTGCGTGTCGTGGTTAGAACCGTAATTGATCTATTGAAAGGTGTGATACATTCGTGTTCGGATATAGGTACAACATCTACACGCACATACTTTCCTACATCATTCAAATGTATTAAATACCGGATACGTTTAATAGACACCAACGAAAGAAAGGTTTAATGAGGGGAATACCCATATATATATATATCCTCTCTGAAATAACTCCCTTTTAAAATAACAAATGTACAACACATCTTCCCTAGCATATCATAAATACGGGACACTGGTCACACAATTTATGAATGGGAAGCTTCAGGCGAGGCTGGTATGTTGACATTAATTGTAAGGCTGGGGTATGTTGACATTGTTTTGGGCGGTCGGTCGCTTAGTCTCTCTGCTATACATTAGCTATGAATAAACCTGCTTCGACATATATTTCCAATAAAACATTTTCCTCGTCAAACAATTTTCCATGATAAACTCTGTTCTCTCTTCGAATTAAGGGTGAGTATTGTAAACATGAAAATGTCCTATAGATTGCTTCCATCACTTTCCCAACAAACCTAGCTTCGTGCCGTCACACTGGTACATGTACTTATCAGTTTTCTATCTATTTTCAAAATAGCACGTTCTGAAGTAAAACTGTGCACATCATGTTACACGGTTAAAACTCAAACCGCACGGTTTATTTGTTATCGCGTTAAAAGAAAACGCTAGCGTTGAAACATCAACTATGCAAGTCGGGACAGGGCTGAATAAGTGAACGCCCTCTATACAAATGGTTCACAATAGTACGCAGCGCGGGTGATTCGAAATCCGGCTGCCTTCAGCGTTATAGTCAATGCAGGGTGACGTGACTACCTCATTCTTGGGCGCTAAATGTAATTAAACGACACTGCTAGCTTGCTGATTGTGAAGTCTTATCTATTTTGTCTGTATATATTATTTTTTTTTCCATACAGGTTGTCTAACGTTTATGGTGTACAACGTGTAGACCGTACAAGATGAATTTGATCCAGCTAGACGTACATTTTTTCCCCTACATTATCCGGCGTATATCATGTTGACACAACCCGTCTCTATTGTGGTATGATGTACTTTTAACACACACCCTGCATTCATCAAACCAGGTCGCACGCTCTAGCGAGCGCGGGTTAAACGACGAGGCCACGTGAGTTGTCAAGCGCGCTTAATTCAAACTGGGCTGACGGGTACGGTCTGTCTATTTAGGGCAGCACGCTATACACATAGCTCTATTCATAACCTTTTACTTTTGTTTTCTTATGAATTCTTTTCTGCCTTATAAACACACACCTTTCATTCCCCACCCTTTCCCGACGCGCTGTTGATGCATGAGTCATCCTATCCGAACACGTGACTTGGATCAGCCAATCACCTTCGCATCCGCCTGGATCAACCGGATCAACCAAAACCAGCTCCTGCCTAGTGACACTATACTACTAACCACAACAACCTACGCCTAAATAAAACTTAATCCCCAAACTATATGTCTCTAAATAATGGAAGGACTACACATATTACAAAGGAATGCCAATGGACTGGCCGCCCACGAATTAAAAACTATGTTTCGGAAAAAATTTAAACTAGGTTCTCATATCACCTACTTCTCCCCAAAATCAAAGTTCACCCTACCTAGTTATAACTCGGTAAGACACGACAGAGTCAAATCTCGCCCAATAAGAGCAGGCGGTGGCCTCATCATATATGTCAGGGAGGACATAAACCATAAAGAAATACCAATAAAAAAACAAATCTAGAAGCTTATGGTATACAAATTACTCATCACAACCTAAAAATAAACTTTGTAAACATATACAAATAGACAGTAAAATAAGTTAAACCTGAAGACTTAGAAACCCTAAATCAATTAGACCATAAATCCACCATCTTCTTGGGGGACTTCAACGCCCACCGCACCTCCTGGGTTGTAAAAGACAAAACAGACCGAAACGGCAAACCCATCGACGAATGGATCGGACAAAAAAAGCTATTACTACTAAATAACAACCAGATAATAACTATATATGATAAAATTAATCAAAATGTGTTGGCTATAGATCAAACAATCTGTACCCCTGATCCCGCCCAAAGCACTTTGTGGGAAGTGCATGAGGATCCACTCGACAGCGACCACTTTCCAATCCACATAAATATAGGAAACATAGATGTCCAAACCCCGGCCCAAATGAACCCCAAGAACCAAAATGCAATTACAACAAGGCAGACTGGGACAAATTCAAAGCACTATGCGAACAGATGCGCATGATGTCAATCACTGGATTGTCTGATCAAGACTCAATTACTTACAGACTGCCGTCATAAAGCTGGAATATTGCTGAGTGCGGTGTTAAACAACAACAAAAAACAATGAATTTTATATATCATGCATGAACAGCACGTGATGAACGTGCACACAGGACCCAAATGTGTACGCCTTAGGGACATTGAGCTAAGCACACGCTGAAATGCCTCCAAGGCAATGCCCAAATGAACAGGCCAAAAAGACGACACACTGACAAGATCGCCTCATTGCACAAATTGCACTGCGCAATAGATTCGCATCTGATGCTGTGTGCAATAGAGTATAATATAACAGAAACAATATCAGGAAGGCGAATTTCAACAGCTATCGTTAAAAAAACGGATTTATGCAACCAGCCTGAATGCAAGGCGTCCTTTGAAGGGTGTGACCCAAACAGCTTACCATAGGCGGCAAAGATTGGGGGTGGGGTGGGCTTGGCAACACCAGGGACGGGATGTGCGCCCATGACGTTACAACATGTTTACATACATTCACAGATGGCAGAGCACGTTGTTGGCGACGACGTGGCGAGCGTTATGCCAGGGCACAATTCTTTAACTTGACCAGTTTGAGGGTGGTTGAGTTATGGTGTGGGGCGGTATCACACATGACAGGCGAAGTGATTTGGTTATTGTGAATAGACATTTGACAGTCCAGCGATGTGTTGACGAAACGTCCGGTCGTTCCATTCGTTTGAAAAATCGGCAGACATGTTGAACTGCAAGATGACAATGCCAGATCATATCGTGCCAAGGTCGCCATCGATTATCTCAGACGAGAAGGTATACGGACATTGGACTGGCCCGGTAAGTAGCTAAGTCCCAGACATGTCACATCTGAAGATCCGGGGTAGACATGGTCTTCAGCAACCCATGCTTGCCGAAAAAGGCGACTATGCTTGTCGTAAGAGGCGACTAACGGGATCGGGTGGTCAGGCTCGCTGACTTAGTTGATGCATGTCATCGATCCTAATGGCGTGGATCGATGCTCATGATATTAATCCCTGGATTGCCTGGTCCAGATTCGATTATTTACAGACCGGAATATTGCTGAGTGCGGCGTTAAACAACAAACCAACCAACCACCTCAGCATAGAGCATCTGTGGGACCCGGCAACATTGCCCAGCTTGGGGCAGCTCTCGGCTTAAACCTGGTATGTATATACGTTACCTAACAATGTAAATCAGTCCTGTTTGGCACAAACAGGTGTTTTTTTCTGAGAAATAAGCTTAAATCGTTACTTTGTTTGCTACCTGTCGGCTGGGCGTTTTCAGCTTAAACAATTTTGGGTATCGTTTAAGTTTGATGATTCATGATAAATGCCTGTTGGTGTCTATGAGTTTATCGTGTGTAGGTTAATGTTATCTCTGGGGGGTAGCACATACCGAAGTCGTTGCACACAAGTAGTTGTGGGAACGTTGCAGCCTCACTGCATCACATCAGGGCTGTGTATGTGCAGTTTTCGTCAAAGTGTGCAGGCATGCGTAATGACTCTGAAAGGCGTTTCCATAGCGCCTTCTATTACATTATAGTTTAAATTGCATAACAAGAAGCTTGAATAATATAAGTTTGTTAAGGTCTTTCTCTACATGTAGACAGTGCAGAATATAGAAGTTTGTTTGTTGTTTAATGCCGCATGCAGCAATATTCTAGCTATAAGACGGCGGTCTGTAAATAATCGTGTCTGGACCAGACAATCCAGTTATTGACATCATGAGCATCGATCCACGCAATTGGGATACGATGACAAACATCAACCAAGTCAGCGAGCCTGGCCACCCGATCCCGTTAGTCGCCTCTTACGACAAGCATAGTCGCATTTTACGGCAAGCATTGGTTCCTGAAGACCTATCCTACATCGGATCTTAACGCCGACAAATTTGCCAGATTTATATCCGACAGCACGAGATGTTGTTGTGGCTATCACACGGAAAATGCACTTCATTTCTTTCTTATGTATCCCTTTAACAGTACATTAAGGCAAAATATGTATTTTGTCGTAAAAGACTACGATTTAAATTCAATTCTAAATGGAAATTCATATTTTACGACTATAACAAATCTTGAAATTTTGAAATCAGTGCACCTTTTTATTCTATCTTCTTGCCGATTTAAAGATTTTGTCTGAGATGTTGGCTTTGCTATATGATACTGCGATGTTGTTGTGCTGGATGAAAATTTTAACGTAGCTCTAGTTACGAAAGATAAATTCAGTAATTAAACACTTACAGAACAATACTTATCTTTAATGACAATTATATAATGTATGCTATTTCTTATGTCACTTTCAATACATTGTAATTTTTATGTGTATCATGTTTTGGAGAGGCATTCAGATAAGCAAAATGTGCTTGTTTGCCGATCCCTCCACTTTATGGAATGAATATGTTTATATCACGTAAAACTCCAAAATAAGGGTTTCCAAATTATACTTCCAAACGAGCACGCTTTCAGAGCAGCTAAACAAATAAGACAAATCTTTGAAATGTTTAGTCAATACCGAAATCCCACACTGGCAAACATTTACCCGAGGTGTCATAAGAGTTATACTAGAGACACGGATGAGGACCTCACACTAGACACCCAAGAGGCTTACTCCAGTCACAATATACAACTCCAAATTGTCAGTACCCACAAAATATAAACAACAAGGAACGGAAAATCCCATCCCACATCAACTTCATGAAATCAGAAAAAAATCCAAAAGCTCCTGAAACGCCCAAAATAAACTAGAAGTTAAACCTTATATTAAACCAGTTAAACAATGTACTCAATGTCTAAAGTGTAACCACACAACCTCCCAATGCAACCCTAAAATAACCAAATGCAAAAACTGCGCGCAACCGCATTGTCCAGGATCACGCGCCCTGTGGTGCATACATTGCAAAACTATAACCCACACCTCACTATCAAATCACTGCCCCCACAGACACACCCTCACACAACAGGCAAACAAACACATAGACACATCAGAACTACAAACAAAAAAAACAGTACCACGCACATCCAAACAACTACTCCCCACACCACAGACAAACATCATAACACCACCAAAACCCACACAACATCTAAAAAATAAAATCCTCCCGAAAATGCAACCGTCCCCACCGCACCCAACCCACCAACATCCAGGAGATATCTAACGGCAGAGTTCTCCATACAACAAAGCGCCAAAACATCTACACCCGCAGGCAAAACAGGCTGCAGAGCAAGCAACATACCCAGACCGGACACCCAAAACACCACAGCCACTGGGGCAACAACTAATTTTTACCAGACCCAAACAAAAATCTCAGCCGCCAAATCCACCACCAACAAACAAACACAACACGACAACTAAACACACACCCAACCAACATGGACACCTCAATCCAAAACATAAGCGGAGAAGACTTATTCACAACAGAATAGGAATCTCTAGACACCTCGAATGTCTCCTTCAAACCCCCAAAATACTCATAAACGTAAAACACCAAACCAGACAGGATTCAAAACCCTAAATAATCTTACAATGTTACAAGCATATGGTTTAAACATATATGTTTTAACAAATGAAAATGGATTGGTAAACAAGCGAAACGCTTATGTTAATACCTCTCCATTACACATAGGACATATTACAATAAATACATCAATGATGGTTAGATGTAACAAATACATTTGTACATGCCAAGCTGGATGTGTATATATCATAAATCTATTTGCAGTTTATATTTCACGATTCAATTAACTGAAAATCTGCCACTTTTCAATATAAAGTTTTCAATAGAATCTAATACAGCAAACTACGGTTATAACGAACTGACCTGTATAACTCATGTGGATGTTACTTGTATGTCAATCAGCTTAACTCATGTGGATGTTACTTGTATGTCAATTAGCATAACTCATGTGGATCTCAGGGTGAAAATATGAGACGACACTTCTCGCGGGCCGGGTATTTAATCTGGTATTTCCCCATGATGTTAGGGAGTAGGGCTGCTGGTTCGTTAAAACGTCCAGTTTGTATGGCAACTAATCAGAGCTGTGTCATGAAATTCCTGCTGAGACAATGGCCCCTTCTACTTTATTAAGTTGTTAGATAAACAACAACCTTGCGTCAGTCAACCATCTGTTAACTAATCCTTGTTCAAAGCACTGCTGACAGCTCAACCATGCATAAACTTAATTTTCATTGTCACAACATAAATTAATTGTATGCATTCATCTGTCTAAAACTAATTTCCATGGTCACAACACAAATTAATTGGATGCATTCATCTGTCTAAATTACAGACACTCAGCGTTAGCATTGCACACTTGTGTGACGCTATAGTCGCTGGGAAGGTCGCGAATATGTGTGCTGACTGGGCGTCACCCACCCGGGACAATATAATCTGATCACATGACCACCGGTTTGCCCTAGTTTTAAAATCTGCCCTCGCTTGCAATAGGCTTATTAGGAAGCATATCAACGCTGGCTGACAGCAATATTTTTCATTCTCTGGTTGACTCTATTGGGGAGTAGCCTTTCGCTCTGTGAGTAAGAACTGGCCAACCTTGTCGTGTGACCCTCCCTTAAGCATGAAGCTGTGTAAGGGTACAGTCCAGATCAAAACCAACCACCTCTTGATCTTTGCTGTGTGTATGATAGTGTGGCAGCTGCTTCATATTTTGTCATGCGGTAGGCTTCGAGGTGCTGTAACCAGCAAAGTTGTGATCGATTTACGAGGAAGTGACCACCAGAACGCTCTCAAATTCATTCAAGACAATACAGACATTGCTGATGAAACGGTGGATGAAGAGGAAAGTCTGGAGAAAATGTACATAGAAAGATTAACCAAGGAACGGAAGACGGACATACCCGAGGTAAAGGTCACCCGAGCCAGTAGCTGTAGAAAGGGACTGAACCCCGAATACCCATGTATTGATACAAACTGTGCCGGGCAGGTACACACAGTGAATCATACCAATCTGAAAGAATTCATTGAATCTCAGTACCATGTACCTGAGGTGTACCTTGACGCCATAAGTAATATGAGGAAGCGAACGCGTCACCATAAAGTTGTGCTGGTCAGCGCAACATCAGATAACCATTTCATGGAATCTCTTGTGTTCTTGAAGAATGTGCAAGAGGTCATGTTTCCTGCCATGGCCAACATCGATTTCCATTTTGTCATGTACGACCTCGGAATGACCTCCGAGCAACGGAGGAATATGGAAAATCTTTGTCAGTGTGAAGTCAGGGATTTTCCTTTTGAGTCGTTTCCCAAGCGTCTTCAGCGTCTGAAGTGTTACACGTGGAAGCCCATTATCATCTCGGCGAACCTACCTGTATCTGACATCCTTCTGTGGGCGGACGCATCCACTCGCTTTACAAACTCAAACATGATGCCGCTGTTAAAGCAGATCCAATCCAGTGGCGTCATAATGGCGAAAATACTCCGCGCCCTCGGCCAACACTTCGCTCCTTCAATTATGGAATATTACGGAGAGCGTTCGTGCCATTTTTCACCGTATTGGGAATTTGAGGCTAACTTTATTGGATTGGCAAATGACCGTTTTGTAAGAGAAGCCATCATCGGTCCGTGGTTATCCTGTGCCTTTGCTCCGGACTGTATGTGTCCAGATGGTTCACACAAAATGTTGAAGTGTAATGTTAAGGTAAGAGAGTATAACAAGTGTCACAGGTTTGACCAATCAAGTCTCAATATTATTCTGATAAAATTGTTTCAAGACAATATGCAGAAAATGACAATGCCAAAGTCACTCTTTCATGAAATCAAACGAGGCGACAGACTGGACAAGTATGTTGACGTGAAAGTCACCTAACTTTTTTCTCAAACACGTTTTGAGCTGCTTTGTATATATTCTCTCGCAATGTAAATAAATTGTATTATAGTCCGATTTACTTGCTGTGTTTAAATTCATTCTGTGAATGTTAACAACATCGTTTCAATGTTTAAATGTTTCTCAAATTTTATCCAACGGATCACAACAAAAGTTGCGCTCATCTCTCCTCTTAAACAGTCAAACGACATTGGTAATAAGAATACCGCTGTTTACGGGCCGCCAACATATAAATGGACCAAACACCATTGTTTACTGGCCAGTCAAAATATAAATGTACATAAATACCGTTGTTTATTGGCCAGCCAACATGGACTAAATACGGACCAGCCAACATATAAATGGACAAAATACGGGCCAGCAAACATATAAATGGACAAAATACGGGCAAGCCAACATGGAAATGGACAAATTATCGTGGTTTACGGGCCAGACAACATATAAATGTACATAGCTATCATTGTTTACTGGCCAACCGACATATAAATGGACAAAATACTGGCCAGCCAACATATCAATGCACAATAATACCGCTGTTCACATGTACATGGATATCGTTGTTTACGGGCCCAACAACATATAAATGTACATGGATATCGTTGTTTACGGGCCAGTCAACATATAAATGTACATGGATATCGATCGATCTTTACGGGCCAGCCAACATTTAAATGTACATGAATATCGTTGTTTACAGGCCAGTCAACATCTAAATGTACATGGATATATTTGTTTGCGGGCCAGCCAACATATAAATGTACATGGATATCTTTGTTTACGGACCAGCCAACATATAAATGTACATGGATATCGTTGTTTACGGGCCAGACAACATATAAATGTACATGGATATCGATCTTTACGGGTCATGCTCAGCCAACATGTAAATGTACATGGATATCGTTGTTTACGGGCCACTCAACATATAAATGTACATGGATATCGTTGTTTACGGGCCAGCCAACATATAAATGGACAAAATACTGGCAAGCTAACATATAAATGGGCATGGATATCATTGTTTACTGGCCAACCAACATGTAAATGGATAAAATACTGGCCAGCCAACATATAAATGTACATGAATATCGTTGTTTACGGGCCAGCCAACATATAAATGTACATGGATATCTTTGTTTACGGACCAGCCAACATATAAATGTACATGGATATCGTTGTTTACGGGCCAAACAACATATAAATGTACATGGATATCGTTGTTTACGGGCCAGTCAACATATAAATGTACATGAATATCGTTGTTTACGGGCCAAACAACATATAAATGTACATGGATATATTTTTTTACGTGCCAGACAACGTAAAAATGTACATGGATATTGATCGATCTTTACGGGCCAGCCAAAATATAAATGAACATGGATATCGATCAATCTTTACGGGCCAGCCAACATATAAATGTACATGGATATTGATCGATCTTTACGGACCAGCCAAAATATAAATGTACATGGATATCTTTGTTTACAGGCCAGACAACGTATAAATGTACATGAATATTGATCGATCTTTACGGACCAGCCAAAATATAAATGTACATGGATATCGTTGTTTACGGGCCAAACAACATATAAATGTACATGGATATATTTGTTTACGGGCCAGTCAACATATAAATGTACATGGATATCGTTGTTTACAGGCCAGTCAACATATAAATGTACATGGATATCTTTGTTTACGGGCCAGTCAACATATAAATGTACATGGATATCATTGTTTACAGGCCAGACAACATATAAATGTACATGGATATCGTTGTTTACGGGCCAAACAACATATAAATGTACATGAAAATGATTGTTTACGGGCCAGTCAACATATAAATGTACATGGATATCGATCGATCTTTACGGGCCAGCCAACATATAAATGTACTCGGATATCTTTGTTTACAGGCCAGTCAACATATAAATGTACATGGATATCATTGTTTACAGGCCAGACAACATATAAATGTACATGGATATCGTTGTTTACGGGCCAAACAACATATAAATGTACATGAAAATGATTGTTTACAGGCCAGTCAACATATAAATGTACATGGATATCATTGTTTACAGGCCAGACAACATATAAATGTACATGGATATCGATCGATCTTTACGGGCCAGCCAACATATAAATGTACATGGATATCGTTGTTTACGGGCCACTTAACATATAAATGTACATGGATATCGTTGTTTACAGGCCAGCCAAAATATAGTTCACAATTTGATATGGTGACATGTAGAGTGGTACAGTCTGAACGAAAATAGGAAATGCCTTGAATAATCAGGGATAAATTAATACTGCCCTACCAGATCATTTCGTTCAGTTACTAAATACGTTCGCGCTGAAAGTCGTTTTGATACATTATGCTCATATATGGTCATGGCGTACACATTCTTGATTGTCCAGGGTTTTGTCTAGACATAGTTTGGTTAAATGACACGAAAACATTCAAGTCGTAAGTTATGAATAGGGATTAGATCCAGATGCAGATTGATGTAGATGTTGTGTAGCATCGCTAAGAGTAGACACCGGACGCTACACCAATACACCTCTTGCAGGGAGAACCTGTCCGTTTTGTACGGATGAAATAGAAGATGAAAGGCATGTTTTGTCATATTATTTTGTCCACACTATGAAGATCTTAGGCTTTATCTTATTTCCAAATGTCGTTAAAAATGTTGAACTTCTCATTTTTATACTTTTAGTGATTTAATATAGGTAGGCAATATAGGTACGTGGTTTTATACTGTCCAGTCCAGAATTGATATTTACAAATAACACGTCCCATTTTAATTCTGGAAACCCAAAAGTCCAGAAACTCTACGCTCTTTGCCCAGTCTCGGTTAAAGGTATTTACAAAATTAAACATGCCGTTTTCATGGGAACATACCAAGGAAGAAAAAATGAAAAAAAAATTGTTTAAAAACTCAATATTTAGACTATGTCGCCCATGGGCCTGCCCATGGGCGAAGTTTGGCCCATGGGTAGGCCCATGGGCAGGCCCATGGGCGAGAATATGTTCCTTTACTTAAAACTCATGTTTTTGTTTCGCAAATACATTTAATGTATTCATTCAAGTATCATGACACAAAATGTAATTCATTTTAACTTAATTCAACGATTTTATAACGATATTGAAATATTTCGCCCATGGGCGAGAAAAAGGTTTGGCCCATGGGCGAGAATATGTTCCTTTACTTAAAACTCATGATTTTGTTTCGCAAATACATTAAATGTATTTATTGAAGTATCATGACACAGAATTTAACTCATTTTAACTTATTTCAACTATTTTATAGCGATATTGAAATATTTCGCCCATGGGCGAGAAAAGGGTTTGGCCCATGGGCGAGAATATGTTCCTTTACTTAAAACTCATGTTTTTGTTTCGCAAATACATTTAATGTATTCATTCAAGTATCATGACACAAAATTTAACTCATTTTAACTTAATTCAACGATTTTATAGCGATATTGAAATATTTCGCCCATGGGCGAGAAAAAGGTTTGGCCCATGGGCGAGTATATGTTCCTTTACTTAAAACTCATGATTTTGTTTCGCAAATCAAATACATTAAATGTATTCATTGAAGTATCATGACACAAAATTAAACTCATTTTAACTTAATTCAACGATTTTATAGCGATATTGAAATATTTCGCCCATGGGCGAGAAAAAGGTTTGGCCCATGGGTAGGCCCATGGGTAGGCCCATGGGCAGGCCCATGGGCGAGAATATGTTCCTTTACTTAAAACTCATGTTTTTGTTTCGCAAATACATTTAATGTATTCATTCAAGTATCATGACACAAAATTTAACTTAATTCAACGATTTTATAGCGATATTGAAATATTTCGCCCATGGGCGAGAAAAAGGGTTTGGCCCATGGGCGAGTATATGTTCCTTTACTCAAAACTCATGTTTTTTTTCGCAAATACATTAAATGTATTTATTCAAGTATCATGACACAAAAATTTAACTAATTTTTACTTAATTCAACTATTTTACGGCGTTATTAAAATATTTCGTCCATGTTTACGTCAGTCCCTTTCAAGCATCAACTAACTGTTTGCAAAGTATATTGTATCAAGTGAAATATACTTTATATTATATCATTACATTACTATTTAAAAAGGGCATTTGGTTGGATGTTTCCTTTAGTTCTACAAATTTCACCTGTTTTACATATTGTAGCGATCTTTAATGAACCCGGCCTTTACCTCTCAAAACGTTTTGACAGTTTATCATACGAATTCATGTGCGTGTACTCCAATTCATTGGAGTTATTTTCCACAACATTAAATTTTAGTTAGTTTCTATTTCATTTCCCATTTAATGTCCCGTTGATACATCACACTGGGCAATTACGTGACACCAGGTATGCAATATACAGGTACGCGTGCGCGTATTTTAATGAAAAAAACTATTCGTCTTTTATTGCCTAACGTTTGGCTGAATATCTTACATTCTAACGAAATCTCGAAATAATTATTTAATTACATGCGGTTTCGAACTGACCAGTGGGAATTATGTTTCAATGCGATTGAGGATAACGTGAGTGAATATTGTGACACTAAAGCAACTTTTAACTGCATTGTCACTTTTGGTATGAAAATGGTAACAGTTCAGAAAAAACAACAGCCTCCTTATGATAATTCTCATTAGTACGTTGTATCTAATTACAGTGTCGGCCTTATTTACAGGTGATTCTACAATACCTGCTCTCGGTCAATTACGATCTACCACACCACGCGTGAATAAACAGTTATGCAGGTGTTGCTGTGGGCAAATACCTAGCCTGAAAATGTTTATTTTTTTTAGGATACATGTTTTACAAATGTTCGTTGATATGTGGATATATTAAGCACAAAGACAAAAAAATGTTTATGAAAGATGAATTAGTGCCTTGATATATTCATCGAGATGTGTATCATCGTTTAATGGGGTCATTCAATAAACGTATGTTTGGAGGTGATATCAAAGGAGCCGCCCAATATACACAGTGTCGTCCGGTGAACTACCACCCCACCCTGTTCATT